GCCCCTAACCACCCTCCTGCCTGCCTGATCACCCCTACCTGCTCGCCTGCCTGCCTGATCACTCCTAACTGCCTCTGCCTCAGCCCCTGCCACAGAGGCTTCATCTGGAAGGTCATTCGACTGGTCTAATTAACATATTATGCTTTTATTATTATAGATTATTGACTATATTCCCTGTGCTGTATTTTATATCCCCATGACTATTTTGTAACTGCTAATTTGTACTTTTTTGTTGTTGTTAATCCTCACCTGAGGATTTTTTTCCTATTGATTTTTAGAGAGATAGGACAGGAAGGGGAAGGGTTGGAGAGAGAGGGGAACATCAATGTGAGAGAGACACATCGATTGGTTATGTCTTGCATGCTCCCCGGGCCCTGTCCTGCAGCTGAAGTACTTGCCCTTGATTGGAATTGAACCTGCAACCCTTCAGTGCAAATCCATGGGCCAACCATCTAACCACAGCAAAACCAGCTGTGGCTAATTTGTACTTTTTAATCCCTTCACCTTTTTCAGCCAGCCTCCCAAGTGCCCCTCTGGCAACCATCAGCTTGTTCCTTGACAATATTTTTTCATCTTTATTGTTGAAAGTATTATAGGTGTCCCTTTTTTTCCCTCCATTACCCCTCCTCTTCATTCCTCCACTTTCCCAGGCCTTCACTGCCTCACTTACATGTGGAATCTGATGAACAAAATAAACTGACAAACAAAGTAGATGTAGAGACATGGAAGTGTGCAGCAGACTGATGATTCTGGGTGGTCAGGAGGGGTGGGAAGATAGATTAATCAAATAGTTTTTAATGTAGGTTGTGGATTAAAGTGAAATTCATGCCTTCTATGCTTCTGAAATTCTACCTCTTCTGTGAACATTAAAACTTAGTAGACAGGTGACAATTTTCCCTCAAGCTGTGCATTTTAAATGTGGTAGTCTTATGTTTATCTCTCTTAATTTTGCTTGTGCTCTTATAATAATAGTTCATTTATAATGTCATTCCAGTTAAACAAAAATTCCTGGCAATAATGTCAGTTTTGGAAATAACATTCTGATTGATTTGAGTACTTTCATGGTAAACCAAAAATTACTGTGTATAGAATTAGAATTACAAACAGACACACACACATTTTATCTTTTTATCCTTTTTATTTCCATTTTTCTTTTCACCAGTGGTAATGTTGTTCATACCCTTTCTTCATGCTCATCTCTGTCCTTTATTTCTACTCTAAATTGCTGCACTTTGACAATATCCCCCTATAGGTTGTATATTCTATGAAGCGTGTTTATAGCTCTATTGGCTCCACTTAAACTGGGGAGTAACCAAAACTCTATCCCTTTTACAGCTATTTTTGAAATTCAGATTTTGTTGTTGTTATTGCTGTTTTATTCTACCTTTTCAGAGTGCTTTTCTTGATGGAAACTACAAAAGTATATTAGAGTGATTTGTTTTCTTTATGTCCTGTACTGGAGGCCCGGTGCACGAAATTCATGCTGGAGGTGGGGTGGGGGGCGTGTCCCTCAGCCAGGACTGTACCCTCTCCAATCTGGGACTCCGCGGGGGATATCCCTCTCACAATCCAGGACCACTGGCTCCTAACTGCTCGCCTGCTTGCTTGATTGCCCCTAACTGCTCCTGCCTGCCAGCCTGATCACCCCCTAACTGCTCCTCTGCCAGCCCGATCGCCACCAACTGCCCTCCCCTGCTGGCCGGATGGCCCCCAACCGCCCTTCCTTGCTGGCCCGATGGCCCCCAGCCGCCCTTCCCTGCTGGCTCGATGGCCCCCAACCGCCCTTCCTTGCTGGCCCGATGGCCCCCAGCCGCCCTTCCCTGCTGGCTCGATGGCCCCCAACCGCCCTTCCTTGCTGGCCCGATGGCCCCCAGCCGCCCTTCCCTGCTGGCTCGATGGCCCCCAACCGCCCTTCCTTGCTGGCCCGATGGCCCCCAGCCGCCCTTCCCTGCTGGCTCGATGGCCCCCAACCGCCCTTCCTTGCTGGCCCGATGGCCCCCAGCCGCCCTTCCCTGCTGGCTCGATGGCCCCCAATTGCCCTCCCCTGCCAGCCTGATTGGCTTCCTTCACCCGAGGCGGTGGAGATCCCGGGACTGGTCGCGCTGCGAGGCGCTGTGGGACCCCCAGGGCTCACTGTGCAGAGCGGCCGCTGGGCCCGCCTTCGCTGTGTGCACGGCCATCTTGTGGTGGCATTGCGCGAAGACCACCTAGGCTTTTATTATTATAGACTAGGGGCCCGGTGCACGAAATTCGTGCACTGGGTGGGGGGCTTGTCCCTCAGCCCAGCCTGCCCCCTCTCACATACTGGGAGCCCTCAGGCATTGACCCCCATCACCCTCTAATCGCAGGATCGGCCCCTTGTCCAGGCCTGATGCCTCTGCCAGAGGTGTCAGGCCTGGGCAGGGGACCCTCATTTCCCCCCACCACTGGTTCTGCCCCCAGCCCCCTCTGATTGCTGGCTCGGCCCCTTGCCC